AAAGATGGTGAATGCGGTAGGGTAGCTAGGGCGGGTTGAGAAGAGAAGGAAGGTGACTTCCATGGCGGCCGAAACACGGTGGCGCCATGGCCGTCGATGGCAGGCCGCTTCACAGGCTCGGCGATCGGCACAAACACGAGCACGACTTGAAGGAGAGCGAGGCGGAGCTCAATAGGAGCCACGGCGGATTCGAAGTCGCGTGCGTGGCAATGAGAGGCGTAGTTAGGGCGCTTGGCTCTGAGAGAGAGATAGCCAAATGCGACCGGCTTCAGCAGTGTAGGTGGGCGATGGCGCTAGCCAAACAAACTGATTGCGGCCTTGGCGCGAAAAGACGCAAAGCGCATATGCCACACCATGATGAAGCTTCTACTAGGTGGTGGTAGGCTAACAGGTGCATAAAGAGGCAGCATGGCATGTTGCCTTGCCTGGCGCTGGCTAGGCTAAGCGAGGCGAGGCGCACATGAGAGGTGGTCAACCGACTTCGACCATGGGCAAGGTGGCGGCCCGAAGGAAAAAAAGTCCTTTTCCAAATATATTTTCAAGAATTTTTACATGCCATCTTTCAAATATTATTTTGAGCAAGAAAATGACATCTTTTGAAAATATACCAAAAATGAAAGTTGATTAGAATTTAATTTTCTACAACTTTGCTTTTATGACCACAGCCAAATTCTTTCTAGATTTTGAATTGTAAGGTCAAAGTCCACGTTTAACTCAAAACCCTAATTTTTTTTGGAATTTATTTTTGAAGCTAAATTTTGAATTAATTTGAATACAAACTTTGCTCCAAAAATTGAACTAAACATTGCTAGATGATTTACAATAGTAGCCAAACATGTTTCACTAACCTAGCAAGCAAAATCAGGGCAAAACAACTCTTAAACAGGTGTATGCAACATTCAGGTTTCACACATGTTTCAAATGTTTCGAAGCAGTGTTTCAATTGTTATTTACATGATTAGGCATGTATGATTAGGATGCTTGATGATGCATGATATGTATGATTAGCAGTGCCTAAATGCAGGCATAACACCGGGGTGTTACAATCACTACAGTTCAAGTCCAACTGATCAGTGATCCATTGAATAAATCACTTAGGTGTCGAACAACCATCATACTGCAGTAAGATGCCAAATCCACGATCCCCGACTATATCCTTCTTACGATCATCCAACTGGGCTATAATTTCACCAAAATACTTGCTGTTGAACCTGCTCCCTGCTCTCTCAGAAGTGCTTCCAGTACCAGTCGCTCTCCCTCTACCCCTCCCTCTCACAGACCTGGTACTCTGAAAACCAATGCAACAAACACACACATTAAACAACTTAGTCTATTTAGTCCACTTGAAGCACAGCAAATAATAAACATGAGACAAAATATACCGTTCCAGCACGTGTCTGGACACCACGCTGACTTGCTTTTCCTCTAGAGTCAACAAACTTTGCAAAATGAAAAAGACAGGATGAGACTCAAACAATCAGAGAAAAATAGACTAAGTTCCGCAAATACCCCTGCAAAGGCCTCTTGCAGATGCTGGAACGTCTTCACCATTGATCTTGCATCATAACCCCCATCAACTTCGGTATTTGAGTCCTTAAAAAACCAAACAATCCATATCAGACAAAATATTTCACAATATAGCTTCCAAAATCAGCATCAACTGCACATAAAAACTTAGTACCTCTAGCTCATTCAGATCATCAGAGCTCGATTCATACTCATCCTCGTTACTATCATAAACATGATCTTCATCCTCCATGGCTACACAACCAGCAAACTGTGATTATGAAATCAGTGACAACTTCAATAATGCAGCTTTGCATACGCAAGCAAAATAAAGACACAGTAACAACAAAACACCATATAAGGACTACTGCAAATGGAGGTTCACATAAAACCAAACAGATACTTAACATCAACCCAATCCTCACATTACAAGGTTCACATAAGACAACTACAACAATACTACATATAAGGGACAATACTACATATGCTGAAAACTATAATTGTAGTGTCCTATAAGTGCAATTTACATTATCAGTAATTACAAATTGTGAAACCCAATCTAAAATTTGCCTTATTTTCATCAGCAGTAGGTAATAATACTAACAGATAACTTGAATGCAGGACATTTCTCATTTTAGGGCAAACTAACTAACTCCAAACTAGAGTTCAGAGAGGACACACATAATAAGTATGAACAATGATATCTCAAGCACATGAATACAAGTATACAACACAAGCACAAGCATACAATGCATACAAGGGTAACACTGAACCCTGAACCACACTAGTCTAGAGTAAAGGTCCAAGTATATAATAGTGGCTACCATAGCAGGTTGCTGGGTTCAGACATATCTAAACCTCTGAACCCCAAAGAACTAAATCTTAATTTGCAATCAGACTGATCGAAATAGCGGACAACTCCCTACCAAAAGCTTCTTAAAGAAACATAATATGACCACAAAAGTAATAACACAGAACATGACCAATAAAGGGCAGCTCACTTTACTTAGATTCAAGCGGCATTCTAGAACCCAGTTTATGTGTGTGATATCACAAATATCTTATAGATTCACTATACTTCCAGGAACAGGACTGAAGATATGTATGACACCTCAGAAGAAAACTATGATCTCAGTACAGTTGAAGGGATCAACAAGTGGCAACAAGAACTGCAGAAGATGGCTCAAATGAACTAGGTAATAGTTAAATTCACATAAGGCAATGGCCATCCATTGTTCAATTGGATACATGGTACACAGAATCTAACCGAGAAACACAGAAAACAAATCCACGCCACCTGCTAACAATCCAAACAAAAATCCATCCAACTCCAAATCTACGCTGCAAAATCAAAGGGGATGAGCACCAACCACCGCAGCACTCACCACAAACGCCAGCGATTTACCAACAGAGAGGCACAATGACAGCTAATCCAACAAACCCTAATCCACACCAACGGTGCGATGAACCCTCTGAATCCACACACCACTAAACCCTAACATGAGCCCATCGAATCGAAATCACCAGATCCACACCACCAAATCGCAACCAAAATGGGTCAAAATGAAGGGAAGAGGGAGCCGTACTACCTGCTGACCTCCACCGCGACGCACCCTCCGAATCAAAAAGCGAGGAAGAAGACCGAGCAGACCTACGCCGTCGTCGTCGCCGTTGCCTTCGGCGTCGCCAAGGAGGAGGGAGAGAAAGGGAGAGGAAGCGAAATGGATAGGAGTGGACCGAGTGGAGCGGAGACTTCTCGGCAGGCGCGACGATCCAAAATTGAACAGTAAAGTGGGTCCCACATGTCAGCGACGGAGCGGATGGAAAACAGACCGCACAAGCACGCGCCGTCGATGCCCCCATCCGACGGAGGACAAATCGCGTGTTTTCTCCAACAGAAACACGCGAGTGTCCTTTAGCAATACCATAAAAAAAAGACAAGTGTTGGATATAGCCGTGAAGAAACTCAAGGGCAAGAAGTACATATTTTCTTTCGGTTGACATCTAGAATTGTATCCATCAGTTACGAACGATCATATTCTTCCAGGACCAAAAGGGTCATCATCGTAGGCTGATGATGTCCCCAAATTCCTAGTCCCGGCTACACGTTTGTCCAGTGTTAGAGAGAGATACCGCTCTCCCTTGATACCTAGGACTGGGACTGGGAGTGATCCGTGGTTTTGTGTTGCTCGGTACGTACTGCGCCTCTTAAGTCTTAACGGAGAAGCTGGTTGCTGACAGCAGTGTTAACATACTACTAGATGGTTACAGATTTTTTTAAAACAGGTGATTACTGATTGGATTGGATGGTCCATTCAAACAACTAGGTACTGGCATGGTATAGGTGTAGAGCTACGACTCTGTAATCTACTAATCTGTACTCCGTATGCAGCAGTCGAGAGTCGTCCAGAGAAACGAGCTTAGGTAGGTGTAGGTAGCACGACGACTTGGTGGAAAGCGTCAGGACTCAGGATTGCTACTTGCTATCGGCAAAGGCACGAGGACGAGTTCCGATTGATGGTATGTCTGATGGTATCCCATCCAGTTGATGATAAATATGTTCGTAGCAAGTACCAATATATAAGTAGCATGGTCCATCCATCGCACGAACTAACTTTTAAAAGCGCCACGAAAGTAATTTTAGCAATCCACTTGGTTGGGGTTAGACGATACATTACCGCCTTAACCCGAAACTGGCAAACCGAACCAGGTTTCAGCACTTCAGGATATGATACCGCTTTCAAGCTATCATCAGCACTTCAGCAGGGAAAAAAGAAAAAAGAAAACTACCACTGTCTTACTGAACTCCCTAAGACGATGCACCACTACATCCATATGATGATTTGGTAAATCTGTGCAAAATTTCCGTTCTCTTCCAGATCCCGCTCACCCGTTGGCTCAACCTGACGTTCGAGATCACCCCAACTGCACTGCACGTCTGCACTGCACATCCGGCAAAGGCAGTAGGGGTGCCGGCGGCAAGCCCGGCCAAGCGGACTTCCAGGCCGGCGTGTGCTGTAAGCCTGTAGGGAGACGCGCGAATTCGGGAAGAGGCCATTGCCGTGCCGTGCTTGATCCGATCGGAAATCGGAATGAATCGGGTGCCCTTACTCGCCTGTCGTCTGGTGGGAGTGCAAAGCCCCTGGCTTCTGCATCGCCCGCCTCTTGAGCGAGCCTTCCTTTCCGTCGTCTGGTCTGTCTCCATCGGTTTCCGAGTCACGCGCCCTTGTAGCTGCTGACTTGCAGGGTCTCGCCGTCGCAGTCGCAATCGCGGACTTTTCTACCCTTCTCCCGCTTTGCTTGGTGGCCTTCCTTGTTGCCCTCTCGCCCCCTCCAAGCGCCTCCTATATATAGTCGCCACCTCGGCACTGCCGACGATCACAACCAACACGACACTACACCCCGTTTCACAGTTCACTCAGTCTCAGGCTCTCATCTCCAAGAAAAGCACGCTAAGCAGCTGACCTTCCGACGAGCGAGCTAGCATTAGCAAGATGTGCGGCGGCGCGATCCTCGCCGAGCTCATACCCAGCACACCGGCGCGGCGCGGCGCCACGCCGGGCCACGACAGCGGCAATGGTCGGACCGCGGCCGACGATGACTTCGAGGCCGCGTTCCGGGACTTCGACGAGGACTCCGAGGAAGACGCGGTTACGAAGGAGCGGCAAAAGCGCAAGGCGTTCGGGTTCGCCGCCCCCGCGACCGCGACCGCGACCCTGCGCAGGAGGCGGCCCAGCAGCCAGTACCACGGCGTCCGGCGCCGGCCGTGCGGCAAGTGGGCGGCCGAGGTGCGCGACCCCGTCAGGGGCGTCCGCGTCTGGCTCGGCACCTTCGCCACCGCCGAGGCCGCGGCGCGCGCCTACGACCACGCCGCGCGCGACCTCCGCGGCGCCACCGCCAAGCTCAACTTCCCGTCATCCGCTGCCTCGCCGCGCACCGGCAAGCGCCGCTCCGCCGCCGCTGCCGATGCCAGGGCGGCGCCGTCCGTCATGAACGAGACCGAAGGCAGCAGCAGCTGCGGCGCCGTGCCGGACTTCTCGTGGCAGGGCATGTCCGCGACCGACGACGGCGCGGCGGTCGACTTCCAAGTCGAGCTCGCCGGCGCCAAGAAGCGCGCCCGGACAGAGCAACGGGAAGAAGAAGCCGACATGCTGTTCGACGCTTTCATGTTCGGCGACCAGTTCAGCTTCTTCAACGGCGTCGGCGTGTACGAGCCTGCCGCGATGGACGGCCTGTTGGGCCGCGACGCCGTGCTGTGCAACGACAGCGCGGGGCTCTGGAGCTTCGACGACAGCGTGTGCTATTACTAGGCCGGCCGGCTTTCCTTCTTCCTTGCCCCTGTAAAAAAATGTTGTAGTTTACTGTCCCTCATGCTGCACACCTGACACCTGCACTGTAGAAATGCTCTCATTGCCGTAATAGCCAGCGTTTGCGTACGAGGTTTCTACGGCCTCCGTTTTTAAAAAATGTTACTTTTTTTACTTCAAGACATTGTGTTTGTTTATTTTATTTAAAAATTTTATATAAATTATAAAATAAATAAATTATTATTAAACTATTTTAAGGATAAAATAAATCACAACAAAATATATGATATTTATATAAAATTTTTAAATAAGACGGATAGTCAAACAAAATATTTGAAAATAAAAAACGATACTATTTTTGAAGAGAGGGAGTACGTCTGTATGATATCTTCACCTGCCATGCGTTTAATCGACCAATCTCAGAGTTGTTAACATCTGAATCTACTTCTCGATCCTTAATCACTTGCTGTCCATCCCGATGCGCTTGCACTGTCAGTCAGCACTTAGCAGCTCGCGTCCGACGCAGCTGCAAATAGGGCACAGGGCTTGGCCTGTGATGCCTGAAGGCCAGGAGGACGACCTCCTCGAGACCTCGAGTCCTCTCGAGTGGCGTTCGTCGGCAGATGCGCAACGCGTGCGATGTGCCGGGCATGTTTGCAAGTTGCAACCCAGGAACAGAAACTAGTTTAGTTTCACAGAAAACCCAACCACAGGAACAGAAAAAATCCCATATTCTAAAGAGGACCGTACATACATACGGATGCCATATTTGTGAGATTTTCAAACTGATTTCTCTTATAAACTGGATCATAAAATATATTTCTCCTGGATTGAAAGGCACTGTTCCTGTCATTACATAAACAAAAAGTCTATTTTCGTAACGCAAGCTGTTATGAGATTACATACAAGTTCGTGCAACCACAAACAAAGTTGATCTGCCACTGTGAACTCACGGGGATGGAGATTGCAAATGCTTTTCAGCCGTCCGCCCTCGCACCTGTCTGATTGTCTCCACTGAGCTACGGCCTATGGCTAGATTGATATTTATTGTAGCTAAAATGCTAGCCTTTGCTAAAAAAAAGCTAAAATGCTAGCCGTTTACTACAGGAGAAAACGGTAAACTAATATTATATGTCAATATTGTTGATATATACTCCGTTTGCCTAATTTATAACGCGTAGTTTGACATGTAGCCTCCCAAGTTACACTTTAACTATATTATTTATAATTTATAATTGTATTGTATTCTTTATTATGATTATTGGATAGTACATTTGGTTATAAATCCTTGTATTATCACAATCAAATTAAATTGTTTCTAAAAATTATAAAAGTATGAATCTTGATATGAGTGAGCGTCTTGTAAACTAGCCCAGAATGAGTGCTAGTAATTTTTTCCATTAATTTATAATTTGAAAAATGCTTTTCTCTGCTATTTTTGTGGACCTCCCATACAGAGGATTGACTAATTTTCTTTATCCAAAATTAGCATAGATCAAGGTATCAAAAAGCTTAATTTGTTGCATACATAATAAGTGCTCTTTCCTTTTCTTTATGAGACTATTAGGATATGTGAAAGTCTTTTAAGATATACATTTACCGTTGATTTCACTTTCACCTATACTCTCTTCATGCAGAGAACCCTTGTTGATTTTGAACTTCGTTCGCAAAGTAAGCGTCTTTGATAGGCCAGCCCTTTTTAATGTGCCGCTTGACCCGGTTGTGAAATTGATCTTTGCTTCTTGTGGGCATGGGGAAATTGAGCTTTGCTCTTGTGGGCGTTGGGTGCTCCCATGGTTTGCGAGAAAGAAAAAAGACCAATCTTTTGTTACATCTTGCACAAAATGAAAAGAGAGAGAACTTTTTTTGAGGGAAACAAAGAGAGAGAGAGAGAGCTTCGTCTATTGATGAACAACATATACAAAATATTTATTATCTACTACAATCCAACATCTTACAAAACACATATTTTGTGATTAGGGAAAATCACACAAAATAAATTTTACATTTAATCTCTTCTAATTTCTTCTACGATAGATTGGTATTTACTAGTGAATCGATACCACCTCAAAAGTACTTTAAATACATTTTTATACACGTTTATGTCATAAAATCTTAGGTAATTAAAAAAAATTGTTCTATTCAAAATGTGCTTGTCATTCTGGGATAGACACATCTTTATGCACTAGACATACACATGGTTTGGTTACTTGGGGCCTTTTTAGAATGCATGATATTTTTAGGAATAGAAAAACACATGATTAGAGTTACATGCCACTTGTAATTTTATAGGAATTGAAAATGTAGAAAAGTTTTAGATGGAGCATTTGAATACACTCAAGAGAAACATAGGAATAGAAGAGAGAGACAGGCATAAAAGAAAGTTTCCAAGAGGTTGACCCTTATATTAGATTTTCTCCAACATCCCTATGGGTTGAGCCATTCCAAAGGAATTATATAGGATTTCATCAATCCTTTGTCCCAGAGGACTACATAGCAAAAAAAAAAGTTATATAGATTTATAATCCTATAAAATTCCTTCATGAAACCAATGTTCCAAATTTACGTATTGATAATCAAATTTTACAATGTTGTCTTTACCAAATTTAAAACACCTTACATTCTTTTCAATGGATGGAGTAGTTGACTTTAAAGTCTTCTCACTAATTCTCTCCGACACCTAAGGAAAAACTGATGTGATTATAGTTAGCTGACTTGCCCTATTAGAGATGTCCAAATATATGACAAACCAGTTAAAATTTTCGTCGGTGTAAAACAAATTAAACCACTCGACGCAGCTGCAAAGGTTGAAGAAGCCTGCCAAATTAGTACCTCACTACCTCCAAGCAGCATACCAATATAAATCTATGACGCAGAGGAGAGATCCTCGTGTTCTAAGCCTGTCAGTAGACGCGTCAAGCGACGATGTGCTACGGATAGCTTGGACAAACGAACAAGTTGGCTTTGCAACACAAGTTGGACTTCAGTTGCAAGTTGGATCGCACTGTGAACTCACGACGCCCTGGAATTTTTTGTCCAGCCATGCACCGTATGCCTATTCGTCGTGGATCCAGCTCCGCTACCCAGTGAGGCTAATTGACACTAGCAGGGTTCAAAATTTCGGCGAAATTTCAGTCGAATTTCACGAAATTCGATAATTTCGGTGGTGGCCGAAAGAAAACTCTGAAATTTTTTATACACTAATACATGTGCTATATAACTCTAATCTTATATTTTTTTCTATTGTTTATATTGCATATTCTTCTATTTAATAGATATGTAGTCATAAATCATACTAATATTTGTTTATATCCAAATTTTTTTAGAAAAAACATACTTCATGTGCTAATCTCTAAAAAATTTCGGCGAAATTTTGGTCGAATTTCACGAAATTCGGTAATTTCGGTGGTGGCCGAAATTTTGGCGATACCGAAATTAAAAACCTTGGATACTAGCACTTTAGCTATACTTTTTAGCTGAGTAGATCATTTTTATCTTGAAAATCTTGAGCCACCACATTAATAGTATTCAATTAGATCTTTCTAAATGGATGGCTCTTATTTTGTCCAAACAATGTAAAAGTTCTCATGTAATTAGTTTTTTTTATTTTACATAGGAAAAGCTCCAAGTCCTTTACAAATTTTGGAGTTGGAGTATTATGCTAAACCTTTATATAAGAAATGGGAAAGAAATAGAAGGTGAAGATGTGTAAGAAACAAAAAGTGTGCGATGTACTCACAAATTAAAAAAAAAATCAAAACAAGTGTGGACATAGTTGGTTTTAGCTGTGGTTTTGTGATGCTTGCATCAGGCGGCAGTTACACTATAACATAGCAAACGACAAAAAGGTAACCTTCGTGAGTATAAAGTATTGTTATAAATTATGCTTTCGCATTCAAAGTTAAATAAATTTTAATGAGTGACCATTTCACTCTCCACCTCACTCTATCTCACTCTATATAGTACCAACGACATTTCCTAAAGCAGGACAGCGCCATGCTGTCATCAATGGGAATACCAGGAACAAAATAGATAGCAACAGTAGTGGTTTTGATATAAAACATTTATGCATAGTACTAGTATAGAGATTAGAGAGGCATGTTCCCTTAGAAAATAATAAAATACGCAACAAGCTTTATCTACTATTTAATGAAGACAAATAATTAACAAGATTAGACTAAAGCCACATAACAGTGTTTCCAAACAGCAACGATGCGATACAAGTTTCTAGCAGCCAAGTATGTGGCGGCGGCTATGACGGTTTCAGTAAATCATATGACTCATCTAGATAAGGGGTTGATCGAACTATTTGACAAAAAAAATAAGTAAAAATAAAGTAGCCGTAGAAGGCTTCTCCTATAGTATCCCGATGGAATCATGCATGGATCCTAACGATATTCATTCAGTTTCTCATGTCCTAAATTTATTAATGCCCATGGTTTATAACTTTGATGACACAACTTTAGAAACACCACTCATCGTGAGAAGAGCAAATATGTACCTACACCACTTTTTAATACTCGAAAACCAGTCTATTACTTGAGTCTTGATTGGATATATAGGGCTCATTATTAGGATTTGAAAATGACAAACTTTTCAGGTTTTGAACAACAACTAGTCAAATAAATGATATGCGTGTTTAGTGTCTAAAAGTTGTATCTATATATTTATTTGCATTTCACATATCTTTTAATATGACATTGATCTGGTAACAAATAATCATGTATGTTAGAAGAAATCAACGGTCAAAACTCACTTCTTTAAGATCTTTCTGAATCATTAATACCCACTATCTCTACAACTAAAACATTCATAACTATTCCGTCCACATGTGCGATACCAAAGTCGCTCCATGCAATCAGATCAGGAAGGCAACGCGCACTCGCTTCATGCGATCAGCTCAATCCTCATAACAGCTGCAGCAAATCAGGAAAGAAAAAATCAATTTCCGAAACAATCGTGATCAATTCCGCGATCACCCCACGCCGCCAATCACGCGAGACCACGCCATCATCTGCACCGCGAAGTCGCACGGCACCGTGTCCTCACCTCCTCGTGCCTGGCCCTCGCGCCACATTCGCCATCGCACACGCCGTCCGCCGATCAACGCCATCGTTCAATCGCGCCCTGTCCACGTCCTGCCCCGTACCGGCCCCGTCCGACGCCCCGTCTCTGTCCCCGTCGTCTCGATGCCGCTGGAGCACCTGTCGCCTCGCCACCCTGCCCGTTGACGCTGGCGTACCCTGTCACGACGCCGAGCTAACGACGAGCACGCACCAGGTACGTCACCAGGACCCTATATCCACATCTGTCTTCCCTTCTAGCTATGCGAAACAGAACACCCAAAACCAAATCCTAATAGCAACACGTGGGCGAAGACGACCACGGCTAATCCTAGCAGAAGCACACGGAAGACGACAACCAGCGGAGCCGTCGCCGAATCGCCCCGCTCAAGTCTCCATGGCGCCGCGCCCTCCCCACTGACGCTGCTGCTCTGCACCACCGCGGGCTCAGGTCTCCACCGCCGCTGACACACGCCAGGCACGCGGAATTAGGACGTCGCTCCGATGTCCATTGCAACAGATCGCTGATCTCGCCACCTGCAGTCCGCGGAGCCTACAATAGATCGGTGATCATGGCGAGTGGCCGAGCTCCTTAGCGTGAACCACCGGCCCACCACTACCAGCTGGGCAGCACAAGCATCACGCCCGCGAACTCCTGCACCGCACCGCCATTGCCAGGCATGAGCTTGCTCCGGGGAACAGCCAGTCCTGGCCTTGCTCCTCCGCCCTTGGTAAGCCGTAGGTGAGCTTCCCCGCACCCCTACGCTCCTTCTCCACGCACGCGCGCGCAAGGCATACTGCGCAACCGCAAGCTCGCGTTGCTGGAAAATGGCCACCGAGCACCGGTCGTGCTATGTTCCATGCTCTGCTTTGCACGAGCGTTCCTAGCTTGTTAGCTTGATGACATCATGATGACATGTCCACACTTCCTTGTTTTTTCATTCAGAAGAATAAAAGAGAAAATACATTGGAAATACAAGGACCCATACCCTTGAGCATGGACTCGGTCCATGGTGGACCGCTCACACACCACACCGCCGATCCATGGTTCATGGACCTATCAGTGTTTTGTTTTTTTATGTGGATATTCTAATAAACATCATGTTAGTCGTTGACAATTTTCTGAGGATGTTTATGAAACTAGAATAGTCTCTCTTTGCATGATCGGTTATCGAGACCATAATGTTTATAATTACAATTTTATTACACCATGGTCAACTACTCAACAGGAAGCTAAATGTGCTTCTTTTCTTTTTAAATTTTGGATAGTTCAAAGTGAGCTCATTTTTTTGAACAAGAACATATGTCGTGCTGTTTGGGTAATTTGCAGCGAGTTTGTTTGGTTTTAGTCCATCCATTTTGATTGAAATTTTGAGCTTTTTGCACTGCCTGATGATCGCCAATTCAGTCCTCATCCTGCCATGCAAACCACATTTCATTTCTTTTACCCACAAAATTTGCTCGTGCATAGGTATTGGGCATGAAAAAACTAAGTGGAACAAAACCTTTTTTTCCTGAACACCTGTTGCTGTTTACTTGCAAGTTCATAGAGTTGCCTTGATATACAAATTATGGATCGCTCGTGTCATCTTAATAGGTCCGTTGGGACAGCGGACACAAACAACACCTAATGATCGAAGCACGATAGAAAACTAGTTGTTGAGGCCTCCCCTTACGAAAAAGCTCCCATGACTGCAATAAGACTTCTCTGCTGAAATTGATTTTAATCCAAACTTATGATCACTGGCAAATTGGTAGTTGTTAATATAACTCATCTGCCCTGGCTGTTACAACCACCTTAAAAAACAAAAGATTCAACCATGCTTTTCTATGGTTGGGGATGGATAGGTTTAAAATCTATGGTGTTGTTTAGATCCTCATTTTTTGTCAACTTTTTCAAGTACTAAAGTTACTTTGTTTCGAAGACAAGAAAGCTCGATTCTCTGCCCCTAACCCTCCTAAACCTAAGAAACAGAGGGAGTTTATACTGAAGATAAAAAAAAAGTTTCTCGATATATGATCCATTCGTCTTTTGACCATTTTAATGTAATAACCGCACATATTTATTATTTTTACCTACTTTCTTTCAATCTAACCGAAATCAGAAATTACGTGTTTCAAATATGTAGAGGTACAGTATTAAACCTATGAGTATTAGACAATTCTCAGACTGATCACATGTACATATGAGTGCATAGGTACATGCATAAAATATTATTTCTAATTTAGCAAAATAGGGTATATTATTATTTTATTTATCGTTTGAGAAAATATGTCATCATTTTGTTTAACTTGCTAGCATGAAATAATTTATAGCCACTTTGGTTTCACAATTTATTGTTTACAACTGTAAAAACGATCACATTTTTAGAAGATCGTTATTTCTATATCTAAAAGACTATTTTCTTTTTAAAAAATGTCTTCATGTATTTTTAAACCTCTTTTCTGCATGGAGCCTAATGAAAATCACAGTTGTCGCATGCCATTGAGAGATTTGTCAAACCAGATAAATGAAGGTAAATACTAATGTCGATGTGTATATGTATGTGAAAATTTTAACATCTGATAATTAATGATGTTAAGTCTGTCTTCTTAAAAAAAGCAGGCGTTGAAAGTGTATCTAATCCACTTACACAAGTCTTCGATCCTTGAAAACTTAAAAGGCAAAGGGACAGAGCAAGGCTTGCGGAGCGTCGTGCGGCAAGATCGAACATTAGAATCCTAGCCGTGTCGGCTACAGAGAAGGACGTGAACAATGGAAAAGAAAAAGAGAAAGGAAAAGGGAAGGGAAGAAGAAATCGACAAAGGATATATTCACAAAGAATATCGTATATAAAGAGGTTCTAACTCTATAAAAGACGTAATGCATCACACTTCGATATATAATTTTTTTAGATATCAAATGATACTTTAACTTAAAAAATTAACAAACAACTTATATGCATGATACTTCTAACTACAACTTCAGCCATCTGCATGCTTCAGCTGCAAGAAGTCAGACGCCGCATCTTGGACTAGAAAATCTTCTGGATCATCATTGATTGGTGACCAACTGCAGCTTAGTATTCATACAAAGCACGTTCTCTTAGTCGAACTATTGAGAGATTATATTCTTAATTGTAGAATGGATTCTAAAACATGTATTGTGAAACACAAACTTGTTATGATTATCTTTCCGTAACACTTGATTCCCAAAGAAGTGCAAGCTTATCTTTCGCGTATCGTAGGCATGAAGTGATGCGACAATTGAAGTTGATGTTTTAGTTTTGCATTCAAATTTAGAGTTATATTTTAAGTATCTATCTTTCGTGAAGACTTATGTAATATTGATTGGAACATTATGATTGCGGTATCTATTTTAGATAACAGTATAACACACGCTTATACATATGTTATTGTGGTATTATGTGTCCCCGTTACAATACACGATCATTTACCTAGTTATATTTTAAAAAAAGGAGGAAGTATATTTCGTGCTTTGCCCAGGTAAGTGGAACGTGGTGACCACAAGCCTACCCGAACCTAGGAACACTAAACTTGTCATTCGAGCTGAATAAAGTAGAGTCAAAGCAACAACTGCATTATGATGGAGACACGCTTAATAAAGGTGTTAGGCAGATAAGATTTCTGTTTGGCTGATGTGGCCGTTCTAATCCCTTTGCTGTTTGTTGATCTGTTTCCATAGTTTAATGGCCAAGTGGGGCGGAAGGTGGCCGTCACAAGTTGCTCTGGATGGTCGGAACTCGGGATCTGGTCTGAAGAGACGAAGAGTGACGAGGAGGGCTGAACCGGCAGCTGAAGGGACACTCGCCGCACAAGATGCTTCTCCAATTGCAGGAGCGTGCGCAGCAGGAGGATTCTCCATTAGCACTTTTAAAGTAACTGTCAACAGTGCGTAATTCATGATTAGCCCAATCATCGGCCAGAGCTCTGAAACGAGGCCGATCTGAAATTCAAGGAGCATCTTTTTTTTAACTTTGAAAGAGAAATCGAAGGAGCATTGAACGAAGTTGCATTAGGAAGCATATATTAGTAGTATTTTATAAAGGAATCGTCGTTTTCAGATGGTTTATGACCGGTCATTTACTTTGTGGCATTGCTTTCTGATTTTTTTTTTAAATGGTTGTAGCAAATAGCACAAATAAAAAGAAAGAAAGATAACTTGGTCAGCATACAAGAACTTGGTGGTGTTGCTCCTTCGGTCAAGTGGGGACACAGTTCTGTCAAGAGGAACCCTTATTACGTCAATGAGATCTGTCGACTTACACCCTCCGTTTTGTCCTAAGTCATATTAGTTTTATATGTAAAAATAATTTATGATACTCCCTCCGTTTTTATTTACATGTCATATTAGTTTTGTCCTAAGTCAAATATTATTATCTTTGACCATCAATTTTAATAAATTATTATAGTTTCACAACATATGAATTATACATTATGGAAGTATTTCTTGTAGGAATCCAAAAATATAAATCTTATGTCATTCACCTACATAATTTTTTCGGATTTTTTTTTTGCTTTGAATTTTTCCCTGATGAAATACAACAGTAAGAAAGGGAACGTAACGTAGCTCACGACGTGGCATCAAAAATGCACCGTGCCATCCATTAAGCTGCGCTAGGCGCGCGCCATGTGGCATATCTCGCTAGTCATCATGCCAAGTCATCCACCAACGGTCCTAGCTGGTTTATAAATATCCTCTCTCCGTCGGCAACCTTCTTGGTTCTATATAAACACCACGACCAGAACACGTAAACTAACCCAAGAAAAAACTTTCTCGGAACAATGTGCGGAGGCGCCATCCTCGCGGAGCTGATCCCGCCGACGCGGAGCGTGGCGTCGAAGCCGGTGACCGAGGGCCACCTCTGGCCGGCGAGCTCCAAGAAAGCCGGCAGCGGCAGCGGCAGCAACAAGAGGCACCACCACGAATACGCCGACGCCGACGACTTTGAGGCCGCCTTCGAGGAGTTCGACGACGACTTTGACGCGTACGAAGACGACGAGGACCACCCCGACCACTTAGTGTTCTCCTCCAAATCCGCCTTCTCCCCAGGTATGTAATCCGTCCATTCGAGGGTGCAAGTGCAATAATCTGTATGGACAGAATGTTATTCACGCGCGTCCTTAATTGGGTTTATTTGGGCATGACGTTAGCAAGAACTGCATGCTAGTGTAATCTCAAGGGAAAGAACTCTTGTGTATAGCCCACGACCGGCGCGCCGCGAGGGCGGCGGCGACCCAGAGGACGAAGCGCGGCCACCGCCACTTCCGCGGCATCCGGCAGCGGCCCTGGGGCAAGTGGGCGGCGGAGATCCGCGACCCGCACAAGGGCACCCGCGTCTGGCTCGGCACCTTCAACACCGCCGAGGACGCCGCCCGGGCCTACGACGTCGAGGCCCGCCGCCTCCGCGGCAGCAAGGCCAAGGTCAACTTCCCCGCATCCGGCGCGCGCACACGCCGCGGCAAGGGCAACCCAAGAACCGCGCCGAAACCGCAGCAACACCATGCTGCTGCAGCACAGGCACAGCCTGCTCTGCTTCTTCGAGGAGAGAAGGGGCAGGAAGGGGTTGCCGTGAAGCCTGAAACTATGGACACGTTCGACGTGGGCAGCTTCTTCGACATGACCTTCCCCACCTTCCCAGCCGCACCGCCGGCCATGGAGAGCACCTTCGCCGGCAGCAGCGCCACGTCGGAGACCGGGAGCCCCGCGAAGAAACTGAGATGCGAGGACGACTCGTCCGAGGGGAGCGTGGTGGGTGGCTCCGCGCTGGAGCTCGCTGACGAGCTGGCGTTCGATCCGTTTATGCTGCTGCAGATGCCCTACTCGGGCGGGTACGTTTCCCTGGACGGCCTTTTCGCCGCAGAGGCCGTGCAGGTGCAGCAGGATGTGAACAACGACATGAACGGCGTCAGCCTGTGGAGCTTCGACGAGTTCCCCGTCGACGGCTCTGTTTTCTGACGTACCCTATCTATCAGCTGTACTTCTACTTGGTTGTAAGCATCTGAATCCATCACCATCAATTCACCACGCTTTCTGCTCCTTATTGCGTTCGTCTACTCGATCTCCCTTTGTCAGACTCTGTTTTCTTGGTTCAGGAAGGACGTTGGTGTTCAACCAATCAACCGGACGATCGATGCGGCTGATGGCGACTTGGAGACTATTGCTTACTACTAGTTCTATTTGCTGCCTTGTGTAATCATATGTGATGGTACTGCTTGTGTGTTTGCTCGTTAGATTCAGCATCTGTACCGCTGCCGGCCTCCTGATCATCAGATCGTACTCCACTCTGAATATTTGTACTACATACTCGTTAGGTATTTCCTACTGTTGGTCAATAGTCCTATGAATCTGACCATGTCGGCTATGTTTCTCTATATTGTACGGTTGTGATTGTTGTGCCAAATAAGCTTGTGAACCTGGTTCTATATGGTATCTTGTTTACGAGTCACCTAGCCTTCCCCTGCCATGTTTGAGCTGCAGTACTATATAAGGGGATCATAGAGCAGCTCCAGTGTGTGTCAAAACCGAACCGTGGAGGCAATATGGTTCGATTCGTACACTGGAGCACTCGAACCATACAGAATCTTTGCTCGGTTCGCATGCTACGGATGGTTCGAACCATACTGAATAAAAAATGGGAAAAGCAAGTGGAATCCACGCATGGAGGCCTGAGGCCGGTAGTTTGCTCTGGCAACAGATAAGAGAAAGTTGACGCCTTTATTTTTCTAATCTAAAACAGAGGCCCACCAACTGAACCGAACACTACAGGTAGCGAACCATGTCTCACAACTGACAATTTGTCAGAGCAAAATCGCTGAGACACTGGAGGTGCCCTGTCAGAAGGTGGCTACACTGCCAATCGGTTGCGGCAATTGCACGCAAAATTCCCTATTCCTTCCGCTTAATGAAATATGTACCTCGTGGTACCGTGTGGAAAAAACAAAATTCCCTTTTCGTAAACATGGGAAAAAGCATCACAAGCACTATCTGACATGCCAATTAGCACTCCTAATTCCTGACGAAGTTCAGAGAACAGAAACAAAGTGTTTTTTTTTCTTTTCATCAGACGAACAGACATACAGTATTCTAATGCACTCGCAACTGTTCTTTGCCATTTCGTTTAATTCCATGACACATAATGTTGACTTCCTGCAAATGAACGCACCATTTTCCTAGATATTTTCCCAGAAATAGTCTTGCGACGGGTGCAAAAACCGCCTCGCAATCCGGTGGGCACCTAATCGGCACAGCTGGTTTTGGACTCCTGCATGGGTATAATTTAGGCTGCAAAGTTGGGCACAGCTGGTTTTGGACTCCTGCATGGGTATAATTTAGGCTGCAAAGTTGATGAAAAGAAAATTAATTTAGGCTGCAATTTGCACATATCTTGCTTGCCTCGGTGTGGTTGCGACAGCGACCTGGTTGAACTACGCTCCAAATTAAGTTGAGTTGCAGGATTCTCAAGCAAAACATTGAAATATCCACAAGTGGTGGCGAAAAGGCAAACGCCTCACGGTCATGGGGCTCATGGCCTCATGTGGGGGCAGCTCGCCGAAGTCTTCTTCAGGCCTGCGTTTGTTTGGCTGCCACTGCCAGTTGAGCGCCACGCCATTTGTCGTTTCGCTGATAAGCCATGACTGAAAGGACCGTTGACTGAATTGATGTAAGAAAAAAATAATGTTCATTGACTAAAAATACGACGATTTATAAGTCAAGCGAACATGGCGATTATCCGTCGGCAGAAGTGTACGCTACCTAATCTGGCCTTCAGAAAAACTGCCAGTTGCGCCAGGCCGACCATCTGCGTAATGGAATCTGCCCGTGATGATGACCTGATTTTGCGGCCAATGATTCTTCACAACGATTGGATCCTCATGCATGCTTGCTGGTAAAATAAATACTAGCTGTCTAGGTCCTGAATAATTCGCTTGGCTACTTCCACCTGTTCCATTAGCTAGAGGATGAGGATTCTCCCAAGTCCCAACACATCCTAATCCTATGAAAAGAACAGAATTTGGCCCTCATAATTCCAACTTGTAATAAGTTTTCCCCTGTGAAAAGTTCCTGACATGCTTGTCCTTTCCTTGGCAAAGAACTTGCAAGATCAATAGAACCATGCATCAATGATTAAGCATCTCCTAACTTCTTCAGACTACTGCTACTTGTCCATGCATGTGGAGAAAGAAAAATGCGGTTGATGGTTAACAAGTTTGCCTCTAGGCAAGGATTGTAGCCTCTGCAAGATACTTATTTTGGATGGTTCCGTAATTGCACACCCGGAAACGCTTCTGATTGATCGACCATTCCTTGGAAGTAAAGCCTGGAAGAGGCAGGACAGGAGCATGGCTTTTCTGAAGAATTTGTTGCGTCGTAATCTGAACTGGCTGAACATAACAGCATTCACCTGTTCATGTCGAGACGACAAAAAAAGAGACCAAGTGCAAGTGATCCATCACTTACATGTAAAAGAAGGGCTCAGGGGCCTCGCTAAAATCGCCTCTTTCTGCCGAAACCAATACAGTCGATGCAGCCAGTTCTTCAGAGTTGAGGCATCATCAGCTTGGACAGGGTTTCACCTGACAACTGACAAGAGCAAATGAGTAAATGTACATGGCCCTGGATGCTATAAGTAGTAATGCCACGCCATGTGTGTACGCATCAAACCAGCACTTTCTGCAAAATGTGGAAATGACATGGTCTTATACAAGTGATGTGGGGATGATGCACCTCGTGATTCCGTTCTTTCTGCAAATAGCTGTAGGTGATGCAGGTGTGCAAGTGGCAAGTCTGTGGGAGGAGAAAAAACTCAAGGAACTCTCGGAACGCCTATGGCCCATGGGCCGAAAAGTGGGTGCCCATGGTATTGCCAGCAACGATCCAACCAAACCACCAGACAGCGCCACAGTGGCATTGCTTACTCCCAGTCCCATCCCATGATTCCCCTCCCCTCCCCTCGTTGTTCAGCTCGTGACTCTGTCAGGGCATCTCCGGAGCCTTTCTAAATTTCATTCTCTAAATCATTATTTAGAGAATTATTTGTATAAAAATTATTTTCTATATCTTTTCACTATATCTCATGCGCACTCTAGAGAGTTATTCTCATCTTCTATATTTGGCTAAAAAATATAGAATAGAAGACGGCTATATTCTTAGCATTTAGAAAGGATATGAAAGAGTTTCTTGGAAATACTCAAATAGCTGCAAATGATTCAGCTAAAGCATGCAAAGTAAACGGAAAAGGTCTTGCTTCTGTACCTCCATTACTTTGTTGGAGGTAATAGCTCAAATAAATCACAACTATTGATTTTAACATTTATAAATCAATTAAATAATTAAAACCCAGCAAAGGAAAAGGAATCTTGGAAAAAATCCCTTAAATTAAGGCATTGACGCCAAACTTGACATGCGCCTATTTGTTTGGGCTTGTTTGGCTTATAAGTTATAGCTGAAAGTACTGTTGACTGGTTTGATGTGAGAGAAAAATACTATTGGTTGGCTGATAAGCCATGACTTATAAGCCAAATACGACCAAACGAATATGCTGATGATTGGAGCACACTACCCCCATACTTGACATGCAGGTAGGCCGTGGCCTGTTCACGTTCGGAATGGTTGCGCATGTCGTCGGGTGCGATACTAGTAGCACCCTAAAATTTTTAGTACAACGCAGACGATGAGTTCCAGTACAAGAAGAAGCGATCCAAAGAAAGAAGAATGGCTATTCAAAGAAGAGACATAGGCTCTGGGCAAGCGAAGAAGAAAGCCATGCATCGCCAGCGAGATCCTCATGCAGCAGCAGCTTCTTGGATTTATGCAGCATGTTGTGACTACTATTAGGGCTCCACCGCCATAGCCTTCGCCCCAGCTTGATCATACTGCCACTACTTCTATGACTCTAGCATTACAGCCTAGTGGGCTTCAGAGTCAGTGACAGCCACCAGCACAGTTTGCTTCTCCTACAGAGCAGATGTCCTAGTGATTTGCTACGTCAGTGTCAGCCCCGCAGTTCACACCGTTTCGTACGGGCTTCACACCGGCTGAGATGTCCTCGCTGCTAGTGCCAGAGACCACAGTGTCTAGGAGCTTTGGTGCTTCCTTCAGTGAGTTGACAGGGCACCCTACACCGCCAGAACTACATGTCCCTGTACCTACCACCATTGCTCCAGTGACAGGCACGACAGAGACGCTCCCTTCCTCAGTGGCATCATCGAGCCATTGCTTTAGTCATACCAAAGACACCCTACAAGAGCTCCATCCATTGATCCGACCAGACCCAGATGACATAAAGATCGCTTCCAACTTCTGAGGGTCGACGACTTAGAGCTTAGGGTCGATGATGATGGCACCTGATCCACTTTTCGCTCCTCGTACCAAATACTGGCTAGTAGTCAGGCTGCAGCCCGCCGATCGACTCTTAGGTTTTGGTGTTTGACGCCAAAGGGGAGAGGGTTCAAGTATGCTAGCCTTAGGGGGAGCGACATATCTAGGGGGAGAGCGACATATCTAGGGGGAACTTAGTTATTATATTAGCTTATCTATTACATTTAGAGTTTTTATGTGTGATACACTATTATGCATTCATCGTGTGTTTACTTTCATGCATTGAACTATATATATGTGATAGTGATATCTACGTGATCGTGATATATGACATGTGTGCTCTCTACTTTGGATTATTTATATGTCATATCACTTGTGCTATGCTCATTTGCTTTTACTTCCGCGTTTTACTCCGATGCAAATGAGCTTTATTTCTTATACTCATGCTTATTTCATATCCTTGGAGTACATTATGTTGGCTTGGGTCATATAAGCTTGCCTAACACCTTTGTTCTTATTGCTAAAAGCTTATATGAACCAAGCATGTTAAAAACCTCATCTCTTTCACATACTCGATGTAGTATTGTCATCAATCACCAAAAGGGAGATTGAAAGCATCTAGGCCCTTAGTTGGGTTT